AAAAATAGATTTAAGGTTAATAGGAAATTCAACTAATTAAATACAAATATCACTCCACTAAAACGCCGTAGTCATCCGAGGTCGTGCAGGGTTTTCGTTTGACAGATCGACCGTCCTGAGCTCGGTTGATCATCGGTGACAGCGGGTGACGCTTCTGTTGGACGCGTCGCCTTCAGCGACCGGGTTACCAGATTCATCACCCCTGTGGTAAATTGGTAGACTTGCGGCAACATCCTCCGCCGGGTGCATCTTGCCATCGGCCAAGACTGCACGGGTTTCTCCAACATCCAGCAAGGCGATCTTGGTAACCGGTCTTCGTACACTACCTCCCTTAGTCCGCACGATAGCTTGACGCACTCTTCCATCAGGTCCTCTAATAGCTTGCTCCACACGTCCTCTGGTCCACTCGCTTCGTCTGCCGTCATCGGTAATGAGAACCAAGTCACCATCCTTGATCTCTCTCGCAGCTTCTTCGAACCACTTCGGTTGCCGGCGAATAACTGGCAGATATTCTTTAAGCCACCGTTTCCAGAAGATGTCCAGTTGCTGTTGTATCTCTACCCACGTCTTCTGAAGGTTCCGCTGCTGGTAGCGAATGTCCCGGCCCGGTTCCTTGATACCGCTCGAACTCCCGAGCAAGAAATGGTTCGGTGTTAGTGCCTCAGATTCCTCCGAGTCTAACGGCAGATACGTCAAAGGCCTAGCATTGACTACGCTCTCAGCCTCCACAACCAAAGTCCCAAGTCCTTCCTCGTCAAGTTTCCCATCCCCGTAAGCTTCACCCATCGCGGCTTTCACTGACTGGACCATCCTTTCCCAGGCACCGCCCATGTGTGGAGCACCTGGCGGAATGAAGAGCCATTTGCACTTCGAGCTGGTGAAGGTGGCGGATAGTCCCTGCTCAATTTGTTCCCGCAGAAGTCGTTCGGCGCCTTGAAAATTGGTCCCGTTATCGCTGTAGAATTCTACTGGTGCTCCGCGACGGCCGATGAACCTTCGGACGGCGGAAACGCATGATGAAGTCGTCAGGCTGTGCACAACTTCCAGATGGACCGCGCGCACGGTGAGACAAGTGAAAAGTGCGATCCACCTCTTCACGCTCGCTCTTCCTTGCTTCACCAACAACGGATCGAAATAATCCAATCCGACGAAACTAAATGGACGGCTGCAGGCTGCAAGACGGGCCGCTGGAAGTGGAGCCATCGGAGGGATGTACGGCCGCGCTCGGCGAAGTATGCAGTACCTACACTCACGGCTGCACCTTCGCACCACTGTTCGCAATCGAGGGATTTCAAAATGCTGACGGATTTCATTGACTACAGTTTCCGGGTTGGCATGTTTATACTTCCGGTGGTACTCATCCACCACGAGCGTAGTCACTTCACTCTTCCGGGGAAGAATCACTGGATGCCGCAGATTGTACGATGCATGTTTTGCTGCTCCGATGCGTCCGCTCTGTCGCATTACTCCGTCTTCGTCCAACGCCGGTACTAGTTGATACAGCGAACTGCTTTTCGGGATCGGTTGTGCTTCACCTTCCGCAGCAGACTTGTTCTTCGTGAGAATTGTCATCTCGTCCGGAAACACTTGCCACTGCACCTGCTTCATGATCACCGCTTCCGCTGCCTGGAGCTCCTCTTGTTGCAATTCGCCACACATTTTGCGCCGCTTTCCGTTGATGTTGTTCATGAAACGTAGCACATAAGCTACCGTGCGATGTAGCCTCTCCCACTTCGGGAACCTTTCAAACTGAATGACTGGCTCATACGGAAAGTGGAAAAGAACAGAAGGACGTATCTCCTCAGTCTCGATGGAAGATAACTCTGGTGGAGTTGGCCAGTCGTCTTCCGGGTACCTCAGGAACTGTGGTCCAGCAAACCAGCGGCTATCGGTGCTGAAATACGGTCCTTTGCCCCACTTAGTCCCCTCGTCAGCCGGGTTGGACAACGATGGAACGTATCTCCATTCATCTACGCTGGTAGTCTCCAGAATTTCTCCTACTCTGTGGGCAACGAAGGGGCGGTAGTTGCGTGGATCCGACCTGATCCAAGAAAGCGCCGTAGTGTTGTCCGTCCACAGATAGCGCTTCGTGATCGGGATGGTGTGGTTTTCCTGAACAAATTTCAACATCCGTGTTCCAAGTACGCACCCTTGTAGCTCAAGCCTGGGAATGGACATTGGCTTCAGAGGAGCCACCTTCGCCTTTGCTGCCACTAAAGAACACTGTCCGTTACCCTCAGAATCCATCACGCGTAGATACACGACGCAGCAATACGCCGCAGGGCTTGCGTCAACGAAAACGTGCAGCTGTGCATTCTCATAGGTGGAACTCGTCGCTGCTTCGAAGTAGCATCTCGGGATACGAACCGTTGAAATAAACTGGATCATTTGCACCCATTCCCGCCAGCGATTCAGCTCAGCGTCCTTGATATTCTCATCCCAGTTGATTCCGGTCCGCCATAGCTCCTGAATTAGAACCTTTCCGTGAATGAGGAACGTCGCCAGTAATCCTAGCGGGTCGAACAACGTCATCACACAGCGCAGTACTTGCCGTTTTGTAGGCCGAGTGGAAGTCTCGATAAGCGTGCGCACTTCCTCGTTCATCTGCGTTGAGAAGCATAGTTCGTCGGTTGCGGGCATCCACAGCATTCCGAGAACCCCCTCAGTGTGCTCCTTGTCAACCAGGTTGATATTCTTGTTTCTATCGATCCCTGGCTCTCCCAGGAACTCCAGCACTGCATCGCTGTTGGCATTCCAGTTCCTCAGAACGAAGCCACCGTTGCGATGAACTAAGCGCACTTCTGCAGCAATCTGCTTGGCTTCTTCTACATCCCCGAGGCTGTCGAGATAGTCGTCAACGTAGTGGTTGTCTACTATCCGTTGAGCAGCACGAGGATACTGCTGCGAGTGCTCCTTGGCGTTTAAGTTCTTTACGAACTGCGCTGAAGCCGGTGAGCAGGTTGCTCCGAATGTAGCTACGTCCATAACGTAGACTATGGGAGGCAGTGTGGGATCGAAGCGAAATAGGAATCTTAATGACTGCTTATCGCGTGCTATCATCAAAATCTGATGGAACATCTCTGCGATGTCTGCGCTAACCGCAATGTGGAACTGCCGGAAGCGGAATAGAACAGCAGGAAGAAAGGTCAACTGGTCGGGTCCCTTCAACAGATGGCTGTTCAACGACAACCCGTCCACCTTGGCAGCAGCGTCCCAGATAATGCGCACCTTTTCGGGCTTCTTCGGGTTCGTTACTGCTCCCAACGGAAGGTACCACACCCTTCTTGGGTCAGCTCTCTCCAGTTCTGCATCCGACGCAACGTGTGCGTAGCCCTTGATCACGTAATCCTGAACTTGCTGCTGTATTTTCTGTTTCAGTGTTGAATCTCGCTCCATACGACGCTCCAAACATTTCATTCGGCTCAGCGCCATAGGATAGCTTTCCGGTAACTCGACGTGATCCTTCCGCCACAGCAGTCCGGTTTCGTATCTGTCTCCAACTCGCCGGGTCGTTTGCTCCAGTAGCTCCTGCGCTCGTTGATCCTCGGCCGAGAGAATGGGGTTGGCCGCTCCTACTTCGTCTACGGCGAAGAATTGCTTTACCGTTTCATGGAGCTCTTCGTTTTTCGTACACTCGCACACGTGAAAACTGTACGATTCCTGCTCCAGCTGCTGCTGCTGGCCGTAAACGCACCAGCCAAGCCTGGTTTTGGCTGCAACAGGTCCGGATCCATCTCCTTCTCTGACCTTCAGTGGTAGGGCCAACCGCAGATTATCGAGCCCTATCAGAATCCTAGGAGTAGCATCCTGGTAGCTCTTCAATGGTAGATGCTTCAAATGTTTGAAGCGCTCCGCTGCATTCTCCAAATGGAAGCTTTGTGTCGGTAGATTCAAGCATTCGACCGTTCGCGCTCCAACGATAGTGAACTTCCGTTCCTTACCTTCACCAGAGATCGAAATGGAAACACTCTGTGAAGATTTTTCCGTACGGGAGGTGTTTGCCGTCCATCGCAGGCAGAGAGGTTGTGGTCTTCCGGTTATCCCAAGCTGGTTCACTAGCTCCCCTTCGATCAACGTCAATGAGGACCCTTCATCTAGAAAGGCAAAGGTATTTACCTGGCCGCTATTCCCATAGAGAGTCACGGGAACTATCCTGAAGAGAACACTCGAAGTAAGCAGACGATGAGTATGATTATCCGCTACCTGCGTGACAGCACTCGATGACCTTTGCGTTGAATGTAGGAGAGGATGGTGCCTATACTGACACCCGTCGATGCCGCAGCGTGTAATGACTCGGCATGACCGCCTGCCATGCCTAAACAGGCAGTTTTGGCAGACGCCCAACGAACGAATTTTCCGCCAACGATTGTCGATACTGAGAGCTTTGAACTCCCCACAATCTCGAATACGATGTCCAAATTTACTACAGTTCACGCATTCGATCTTGTCAGCCGGCTTCTGTACAGCTGCTTCCGACGACCCTTCGACGGTGGACGCGTGTTGGTTGACGAATCCCTTCTGCTTTGCTTTTTCCTTTCCCTGCTCTCTTCCGTGACATCTGTTCCCGTCCGACTCGAACGAAAGTACACTCGTAGCATCCTCGACGACTTGCTGCATGTAAGCACAGAACGTTCTCAGGTCTACGATGCCCGCAAAACATCGTCTATACCCAGCCCACATCATCTTCTGGTCCGCTGGCAGTTTAGCTACCAGTTCCTGCAGAAGTGTAGGATTAGACAGGTGACTGAGTTCGTTCGCCGCCTCGATGTGATCGCACAGTGCCTGTATAGCGGTCCCATAATGGATGAGCCCCTCTAATCGATCCGATCTTGGTGCTGGAATCGATCGAACTTTCTGGAGCAGAGCGTTGATCAGGAGTTCCGGACGTCCGTAGCGCATCTGCAGTGCCTCGATGACCTGTGGAACGGTGGAAGGTATCACAAGTCTGCTCCTGACACTTTCGAGCGCACTGCCCTTCAGGCAACGTTGTAGCCGGATCATGTTTTCGCCATCCGTATAGCCGCAAGCTTCGGTCGTGTAGTTGTAGCTGGAGATAAATATAGGCCATTCGGCTGGGTCCCCGGTGAACGTAGGAAGATCCCTAGCTAAGGACTGACGGGCTACAAGCTGCTGCGACGTGGGACCCAATTGCACATTCACGGGGGGATTTCTAGGGGGATTTCGTAGGGGGAAAACTTGACGGTTGGACCCATTCATGTAAGGAAGGCGATCGTTAATGTTTGAGAGTGGGTTTGTACTTTGCGGTGGCACAAACTGAGGAAATGGGTGGTTGTTTTGGTTGGTTGTGGGAGGACTTATGTCAAATAAACCAGGATTGCCTTTATTTTGAGCGTGAAGAGGGGCCTGACGCTTACCTGCTTGTTCCGGGTTAGGATACGTTTTAGGAATAGCACCTGTATCCCGGTGTTCATCACGTGTCATCCTTCCCGGTTCGGGTACCCACAGCGGTGGCGCTTGCGGTACCGTGTTCGCTGGCTGCTGACGGAAAGCTTCTTCCATCCGCTTCATGCATTGCTCCAACTGTGCTCGCAATTCAGCCACTTCGTTACGCGACTGCGACCGATCGCGAGATTTCGCTCTCCCCTGGGTTTGATTCGGGTCACCGGTGTTGGAGCCTTGTGGTTGAACGCCGTGATCGATTGGCGAGGCAGCTGGTGCTGGATTTCCGCCCACCGCGCCTTCTTCCGTACCGTCACGGGACGACTCCTCTACCCATCGACGCACTCGCCGATTATGTGCCTGACTACTTACTTGGCTCTTCTGACTCCGGGTCTCCTCGGCCGCTCTGGCCTTATCCAGCAGTTTTTGTTGCTGCTTTAAAAATTTCATCTGCAGCTTCAAATCCGCCTGTTGCCGCTCGAGGTCTTGCTGTCGCTTCAGTCGTTCGAGCTCGTGAGCGACAGTCGATCCGCTTTTGTTGGATTTGCTGCTTCTTGCCGACACGCTGGGGGCAGCTTCGCACTTGGTGCATATCCATGCCCGTTCGCTAATCGATGAATCGACGTCGGCACATGCGAAATGCCACCAGCAATCACAGGTGTCGCATTGCACGAAGTTGGCCGGCAAATCGGACTTGCTGCACGCCACACAACTAACCTCTTTATCTGCAGGCATACGTGGAGGATCCGGGGGGTTCGGCATCGTTCAAGGTAAATTCTTTGAAGAATTGTTGCCGTAATAAAACCCCCTTGCACTAATTTTCGAGAGCTATATTTTTATCAGCTTCAAAGCTACAATTAATAGGATTAATTAGAACAGAAATGGTAGATTTAGGACAAGTAACTTACAATTTAGTGCTTTTATGGTTAGCAATATGTATATAACTTTAATCCACGGAAAAATAGATTTAAGGTTAATAGGAAATTCAACTAATTAAATACAAATATCACTCCACTAAAACGCCGTAGTCATCCGAGGTCGTGCAGGGTTTTCGTTTGACAGCTCGACCGTCCTGAGCTCGGTTGATCATCGGTGACAGCGGGTGACGCTTCTGTTGGACGCGTCGCCTTCAGCGACCGGGTTACCAGATTCATCACCCCTGTGGTAAATTGGTAGACTTGCGGCAACACCTTCCTTAAAAGTTGTCCTAGTTCGCTATTCTAATATCTATATACAATCTTCACACTGCCGTACTCTAACGGAACTATCAACTCTATGCTTTCATCTACTCCATCTATCGTATAAAAATTACCACTACAGTCTGTTATTTGAAATTAGCATCTTCAACTAAGAATATAATTGTTGAGCCAAACGTCAAATAAAATAGTTATTAATTGTTTAAGAGATTAATAATCTTATGGCATGATCAAGCAGCTGTTTTGTGAGCAACACTGTATCTTGCAGTGTGACATAGTAGCCATGATTTTTGTGCTCTATTCCAAGCGCCAGAAACACCAATGTTGCCTGCTGAACAGTTGATTGAGCATAATCGTAAGACATTAGTGGCTTGAATTATTGATAACTTTTGATGCTTACATTATATTGAAAAGTGGTTAAGGACAAAGTTGTAGCTGAGAAAATTTTCTACGAGCTCAGTTATCATTTTTTAAAGCAGAGCGATATGGTAAATTGTTAGATGGATATGAACAAAACATTTGGTTTTCCTATGGTAATTTCCATATAAACTTCAAATGGTTTGTGCCAAGTCAGGTTCTTATCGAATGAGTTCAAATTTTGGGAGACTAATCAGGACCCGATTTGGAACCGTTTGAGCACTGTGGAGCGAAAATTTCAAAATTTGCATCAGTCTAGTGACCAGTCGTCACTCATAGTGAAATGATTTCTTGTAAATCAAATGGGGATCATTTCACCGTTAGTGATAAGTTGTCACTTCACCATGAAGTGACATCGGTAATAAGGGCCAGTGACGTCATTGTAATCCAGCTAAAACATAGGGAATGATGCTGATGTTAACGTTATGTTCGTTAAATTTACCACGCAGTCTGGGATGGGAGTAAATCGTTTTTTCGATGTAAGGGGCTGTCCATAAACTACGTATAAAGTTTAGAATATTAAGAAAAGTAGTCAATAAAAATAAAAAGTAACCTCGCTCCTAACACTCACAATTTCCGTGAGGGGGGCGGGGGTTAGATTATTATAGAGGGAGCCTGGCCCCCTTGACACCACCATTAGCTACGCCTACCTTCCTCAAAGTGACAGCTAGTCACGTCATCTCATTCGTTATGCAGAATAACCCTGTATTGCCCACCCCACTAAATGTTTGTATGTTGATAGACACGTGTATTTCAACTTTTATTATTATTATAGAGTTTTGGCCCTTCTCAGCAAAAATGCTGGCTCTGTGGATCTCATTCGTCAGTTGACTTACATCCTAATTTGTTTGCTTCAGTCGAATCAGTTATGATAATTCAGGAACCGCCGGACAATACTACAGGTTCCAAAAATCACTGCTTTCTGAATGCTGTTCAGTTCTCTTCGTAGTTCCAACTCTTCAAGGGAACGTATAAGGGTACGGGGAACAATTCTGGTCGCCGAGATTACTACCGGAACTATACGCACATCCTCCAGGTGCCACATCTGCTTCAACTCCTCCGCCAAATCGTGGTACTTCAGTATCTTGGTCGAGAACGTTGACTGAACATTGCGATTTAACGGTACAGCGATATCGATGAGGGTTACCCGCAGGGCGATTGGCACGAATGTGGACATCCGTAATGATCTCGCGATCCCAGTACAGTTTTATGCAACTATTTTCCAGTACCGGGTCTGGCAGGTACTTGTAGTAGGGTACGTACTGGTTCACCAAGTTGTGCTTCAGTGCAAGTTGTTGGTGCACAATCTTAGCGACATCGTTGTGACGACCGAGATACGCTACTTCTGCCAACGCTTGGCAACCAGCAACAACATGTTCGATCGTCTCCCCTACTGCATTGCACTTTCTACATCGGTCTTCTACTTCTTCGTGCAATATGTACCTACGGTAGTTCTTCGTCGCAATAACCCGATCCTGGATGGCTACCATGAAACCTTCAGTCTCTGAGAAGAGTTCACCTCGCACCAGCCACGTATTCGACGCCACTTTGTCGACATGCGCTTGTTCCAACTGATGGGGATGCGTCCCATGCAGCTCCTTAAGCTTCCACGTTGAGACTTTATCTTCGACAGTTTTTAGGTCGCTATTCAACTGGTAGCCTTCCTGCGTCAGATGCAGGGCGCTGAACCCGTGGTCTGCCTCACGAATAGCACGGTAGACTTCGTGACGGTTCTGGCTTTCTACGAAGTAGCTTCGCAACTGCTGAATCTGGGAAACACATAGCGTTTGGATATCAGTGATGCCTCTTCCTCCTTCATTACGTGGCAAGGCGACTCTCTCGACGGCCGACTTTGGATGATGCATGCGATGCTTTTCCTGCAGCTCCTTCTTGATCGTTGTATGGAGAATCCCTTTCAGTTGCAGGAACCCCAGGTACTTGTAGGTTTCGCCTTCAACCATATTCCGAATCTCCTCCTGTTCGTTGATGCGGAAACTGCCAGTATCCACTACTTGACCCCGACGGATTTTGACTGTTCGACATTTATCGACTCCAAACTCCATCCGGATGTCATAACTGAACAACGTTACAAGCTTCTCCACTGTTTCCGCAAACAGCTTCCAGTCATCCATGTAGAAGGTGTGGGTAACATTTGTGCTTCTTCCTCCACTTTTCAAATGGTAGCCATAGTTGCATTGATTGAGTGCTCTGCTGAGGGGGTTCATCGCAAGGCAGAACAATAGTGGACTAAAGGTATCGCCTTGGAAAATCCCCCTTCTTATGCTGAGAGTTCTGGACCGTAACACTACTGCTCCGTCAGTAACGTGAAGAGATGTGCTCCACATTCCCATTGCGTGCTGCATAAGCCTGATGACTCCATCGTCCACCTTGTACAACTGCAGTACCTTGAGAAGGTACGAATGCGGTACTGAGTCGAACGCCTTCTTGTAGTCGATGTACGCCATGCTCAGGTTTCTCTTTTTCTGGCTCGCCTGACCGACAATAACTGCATCGATGATGCCCTGATCTTTGCAGCCTCGAGTGTTTTGCCGGCAGCCCTTCTGTTCTTCGGCCATAACGTTGTTTACATTGCAATGGTTCTGTATCTTCCGATTTATTACTGATGAGAGCACTTTGTACAGGCTCGAGAGACATGTTATTGGCCTGTAATTGGCTGGATTAGCCGTGTTTTGGTCCTTGGGAAGAATATAGGTTACCCCTCTGGTAATGAATTCTGGTAGCTGTTGGGGGTTTTCTAGTACCATATTGAAGCATTCCGCCATCCGCCCATGGATTGAGGTGAACTTTTTATACCAGAAGTTATGCACAAAATCTGGTCCTGGTGCAGCCCAATTCCTGGTATACCGGGTAGCCTCCCGAATATCCTGAGCGGTTACAATGACCGTGGGCATACTTACAATTCCATTACTCCTATCGTCTTCCTCTGCCAACCACATCCCATCACTGTTATGTTGAGCAGGATTCTCCCACGGATCGGCCCAAAACTGTGTTACATCGCCAATCTCCGCTAGTCCTTCACTATAGTCGGTTTTGTTGTTACGGATGTGGTTGTAGAACTCCCTTTCGTTAGTGCTGAACATTCGATTTTTCTTCTTCCGCTTCGAACTTTCTCCATAACGTCGCATCCGTTTAGCAAGAGCACTCAACCGCTGTACATGGGTGTCGAGCACCTCAGTAATATCGGCTTCAGTGAGGTCATGGAGCTCTGCGGGCTGGACAATTTCAGCAACGTGACGAGCTAACCTCGATGATCGGTTTCCCCTCTTGTGCTGTGTCAACCGACCAATCTTAGTCCGAAGTGCGACGATTCGGCCCTCCAGGCGTCGCATCCATGCGGGTTTTTGTGCTTTAGGACGTGTACGACTTTCGCCGTTTCCTTGCGGGTACGTCCGCAATCCCAACGTTTGTACCACGGCCATAGCTGCACAGTACACTATGAACTGCAGGTCCTCAAGGTTCTCAGTGGCTTCCAAGTGCTGTGGCGAGCAAAGGAACAAACGATTGTCTAGCGCTGCTTTCCACAGATATTCAACTGGCCTTTGCGCACAAGGAGCAATTGGCTTCAGTATTCTTGGACATTAAGGGGGCTTTTGATTCAGTTTGCATTGAAATTCTGTCAGACAATCTGCACAGATGTGGTTTTTCTGGAATTTTAAATAATTTCTTGTACAATTTGTTGTCAGAAAAGCAAATGAACTTTTCCCTTGGACAATTGACAACTTCCAGAATTAGCTACATGGGCCTGCCCCAAGGCTCATGTCTCAGCCCTCTTCTTTATAACTTTTATGTCAAAGATATCGACAACTGTTTGGCAGAACAATGCACGCTAAGACAACTTGCAGATGACGGTGTGGTTTCCGTAAGAGGTCCACATGCCGTGGACTTGCAAGGACCATTGCAAAATTCCTTAGATAACTTGTCTTCTTGGGCTATGAATCTAGGGATCGAATTCTCGCCGCAGAAAACTGAACTTGTAGTGTTTACTCGAAAGCGGTACCCAGCCCAAATGCAGCTTAATATTTTGGGCAGAAACATTACCCAATCATTGTCTTTCAAGTACCTTGGGGTCTGGTTTGATTCAAAGTGCACTTGGAATGCCCATATTACGTATTTGAAGCAAAAATGTCAGCAGAGGATCAACTTTCTCCGTTCAATTTGCGGCACATGGTGGGGTTCTCATCCGGGAGACCTCATAACGCTTTATAAAACAACAATTCTCTCTGTTCTAGAGTACGGCTCTTTCTGCTTTCTCTCGGCAAGAAAAAGTCACCTAATAAAATTGGAACGAATTCAATATCGTTGTCTGCGTATTGCTCTAGGCTGTATGCACTCAACGCATAACATGAGTCTCGAGGTTCTGGCAGGAGTAACACCCCTCCAGAACCGTTTCTGGGAGCTCTCTCT